ATTCTTTTGCCTCAGACTCCCATATAGTTGGGACTACAGGTGCCTGTCACAATGCCCAGCTATTTTGTTGTTGCAGTAGTTTAGCTGGCCTGGGCTGAGTTCAAACTTGCCACCCTTAGTGTATGTGGCTGGCACCAAAACCACTATGCTATGGGCACCAAGCCTAATGTGTGTTGTTTTTTTTTTAATAAATATTCCCCAAAGGGTGTTATTTAGAACATTTGAAAATCCTCTCAGAAAAAAATTTCCATAGGTGAAATAAATTTAGAAACTCACAGTTCATATTAGCTTTGAAATTCTTACAATAAAGAAATCATTTGCATTTTCTTAATCTAATGTAAATTCATTTGTTACTGGGCTGCTTCTAACAAAAAATCATTGGCCCACAGAAGTAGAGGAAGGATCTGGTAGATATATATAGTATATTTATATACCAACTTTTATTTTGCTTTTTCTTAGGAATATATGTATTTATAATTTCAGTTGGGGTAGATGTACTTGAAATTACTATATTTTTCTGCTCACTTAATTTTGCATTCTCCAGACTTTCATTATTCAGACCAGTGGTTCCAGTGCTATTGCTATTATCTAGATGTTTTTTCATTAGAGATATTTTAATTTTGAAAGAAATTTAATGAATTTCTAAAGTAAAAGTGAAAAAGATCTATGACACTTTTTCACCTTTGATATTTCTTATCTCAGATGACTTAATTATAAATTACAAATGATTAAGCTTATTTTAAATAACTTTAATACTTTATTTTCTAATGTGTATCTAAAAACTATAATAAATTTACTAATTCTGCTTTCTGTGTATATTTGTAGTCCTGTCGATTAGGTCAACATAGACCCATTTCTCGACTTTTAACGGATGGAATCATGAGAGTTGGATCTACTGCATCAAAGAAACTATCAGAAAAGTTGGTAGCAGAATGGTTTTCTCAGGCAACTGATGGTAACAATGAAGCATTTTCTAAACTCAAGCTCTATGCACAAGTCTGCAGATATGACCTAGGTATTTAATTATTTAATTTTTTTTGACAGTCTCAATCTGTCCCCCTGGGTAGAGTGCCGTGGTGTGGTAGCTCATAACAGCCTCCAACTCTTGGGCTCACCCGATCCTCCTGTCTCAGCTTTTTTGTTTTTAGTAGAGACGGGAGGTCTTGTTTTTTGCTCAGGCTGGTCTTGAACTCGTGAGCCCAAGCAATCCACCTACCTTGCCTCTCAGAGTGCTAGGATTATAGGCGTTAGCCACTGTGCCTGGCCTAGGTATTGAATTTGTATTTATTGTGTTAGCAAAGTGTGACATGGTCCACCAACTGTTCTTATAAATAAAATTTCATTGGAACACAGCTGTCCTCATTTATTTACATAAATTTTGTGCTACGAAATCATGTGGCTGCAAAGTCAAATATATTTACTATCTACCCTTTATAGAAAAAGTTTGTGGATTCCTAGTATAGGGATCCCTTCAGGTAGGAGGAAACTGTGGGCTATAAACTATTTTCTGTTGATTCTGTAGGGTCTGATGTTTTAAGTTTTATTAACATTTTGATTCTCAATTTATTAGTAGCTGAGAAATAAAACAATTTTTAGTTAACCTCTACAATACAAAAAAATAGTACTTTATTGTAGCTAAGAAAATGAGTTATTTAAGATTTGCTTATAACACTCTGGAAATAAATATCTGTGACTTTTCCTTTAGATTTAATCCAAACTGAATCTCATTACATATTCCCATAATTTGAACCCCATGATAACATTCTACTACTTTACATTTTAACTTGCTCCCAATGTAGTCAATATTCAACTTTTGTGGAGGGAGGCAGAATCTCACTTTGTTGCCCGGGCTATGATGTCAGCCTAGCTCACAGCAATCTCAAACTCCTGGCTCAGGCAATCCTCCTGCCTCAGCCTCCCAAAGTAGCTGAGACTAAAGGTGCCCACAGTGACACCTGGCTAATTTTTCTATTTTTAGTAGAGATAGTTTTCACTCTTGCTCAGGCTGGTCTTGAACTCCTGAGCTCAAGTGATCTTCCCACCTCGTCCTGAGTGCTAAGTTATAGGCATGAGCCACTGTGCCCTCAATATTCAACTTTTTTTCTTTTCTTTTCTTTTCTTTTTTTGAGACAGAGTCCCATTCTGTTACTCTGGTAGAGTAATGTGGTGTCATAGCTCACAGCAACCTCATACTCCTGAGCTCAAGTGATCCTCTTTCCTCAGCCTCCCATGTAGCTGGGACTACAGGCAGCTACCACAATGCCTGGCTAGTTTTTCTATTTTTGGTGGGAAAGGGGATGTCTCACTCTTATTCAGGCTGGTCTCAGACAAACTACCAAGTTCAAGCAATCCACCCTCCTTGGCCTCCAAGAGTGCTAGGATTATAGATGTGAGCAACTGCACCCAGCCAATATTCAACTTTTGATTTAGGTGTCCTTTGAATGGTGTGATGAAAATTTGCTAGATACTATATTTTACATTTAGTCAATTGTGCCTGTGAAATAGAATTTTATTACACTTTCATGGTAGTCATTTCCTTAATTTTGAATGAAAATTCTACTTTTTTCAATTCCATCTTGTATTTGTTTCTTCAGTTCTAGGGGAAGATCAAAAGCTAGTACTACGTGTTTGTTACATTGTTAGCAAGTGGTTAGAGGTGATAATTGCCAAGAAAGCAACTAGATGATCATTTTGTTTAAGTAATAGCGTAAAGGAATCATTTGATGAAATAAAGAATTAAATCTGCTACCTATTTTTATTCTTTAGGTCCTTATCTTGCTTCCCAGCCATTGGACAGCTCTCTGCTCTCCCAGCCAAATTTAGTTGCCCCTTCGAGTCAGCCTTTGATTACTCCACCTCAGATGACAAATACTGGAAATAGTAGTACTCCGTCTGCCCCCTTAGCGTCTGCAGTGAGCAGCACTATGACAATGACTTCAGGTGTTGCCACAGCTAATTCAACTTTAACCACAGCTTCAACTTCATCTTCATCATCTTCCAACCTGAATAGTGGAGTATCATCCAATAAACTACCTTCATTTCCACCCTTTGGCAGTATGAATAGTAATTCTGCAGGATCCATGTCTGCACAAGCAAGTACAGTTCAGAATGGTCAGCTAGGAGGACAACAGTCATCAGCTCTTCAGACGGCAGGAATTTCCGGAGAGTCATCTTCACTTCCTACTCAGCCACATCCTGATGTGTCTGAAAGGTAACATTAAAAATACTGATGTTCGCAGAAATATAAGAACTATGATACTTTTTTCCCTAAATAAGATAGTTATGAATGAACATAAAGCATTTTCTTATCTTATTCTTGAATTTTTTGTTTTTATA